ACACACAGACTGTTGAGTAGGTTTCGCAGCTCCCCTAGCGATAACAATCGAAACATTATGCGTGTACCCCAGGGACTCCGTACTTGGGTCCCACTTGTTCCTGGTCTTCACCAAATGCTCTTGCGAGGATGCTGTCGTTTAAATGGGGGTTACTATTTGCAGAGGACCTAAATGAACAATGAACAATGACCAAAAATTTATCCACGGGATAAAAGCAAATGCGTGACACGTTCCCGCAGGAATGGTTTGCGGTGAATACTCAGGACGAAATTAACAATATGTCTGGCGTCATCTATCGGAATGGACTGCCGAGATGAATTACTTGGATAATTAATATCAGTGTAAAATGAAAAAATTAATCACGCGTAAAACGTTCAGAAAGACATGGCGTGTAACGCTACATTGGATGATCACACAGCCCTACAAGATGAGCTGGATAAAGCGTATATATAGTCCATCGAGAACACACTCCAAGTTCAGCGCCACCAAGTGAAATTCTGAGCTTACGCTGTCAGAGTACAGTTTTACGGGCTGGGGCCCACCAATTTTACAGCGGGGTTCTTCTAAGCGCGATCTCGGCGTGCTCGTTCAGGTGTGAACTTGGTTGTTTCAGGCAGACTGAATACGGCATATAAGGAAGCAAGTTAGCACGTACGGCCTTCTTGGTAGAACGTTCGGGTAGTTTGACAACTTCAGTCTTTCCAATAATGCTTGCTGCGTAGTGAGGCCGCACGCGGGTATGAACAATGAACAATGATTTATCACGGGATAAAAGCAAGTGCTTGACACGTCCCGTAGGATGGTTGCGGTGAATATGATGAAATCAAAATATGTCTGGGTCATCTATTGAACGTCTGCCGAGATGAATAGTTTGATAATTAACATCAGTGTAAAATTAAAATAAATTATCGAGCGTAAACGTTCAGAAAGACACTGGGGTGCAGTGATCGTTGAGGTAAGGAGTGAGAAAAGTAAAATATGGTCGCTCACTTAGGTCCATTTGATACATAAATCTTGTTGAAAGCATGCTTGGCGTAATCCACAATAGAGGAGTTTAGGTAACAAAATGTTGGGAGCTAAGAGCAACATCTATCGTTTTTTGAAAACATCCAAGGTAGGAGAGGATACAACTGAGTCTGGGAGTGCGTTCCAGGGTTGGCAAACCCGAAGGGAAAAGTAATTCCGTCGACACTCTAGACGGCTATATTGTTCCTTCAACTTTAAGCAGTTACCCCTGAGCTGCGTGTTGTGGCTAAGTTTCAGCAAATGGCGGCATACGTGGTTGGGTCACTCAGTATCTGATACGCTAATATGAGATCGCCGCGCAGCCTTCGATAGCGTCCGCTGAAAATTCCCAGCAACTTCAGCCTTCGGTGGTAAGAGTGATAGCGCAGGCCTTTACATTCTTTGTTGCTCTTCGTTGTGGTGCCTCTATCGCTTCTAGGTCGCGCTTCAACCAAGGTTGCCAAGCTTGGATAGCGTATTCAACATGCGGGCGCACGTAGGAATTGTGCATCATTGGGAAGATTGATGGTTAAAATCTCCCGAATGCCCTTCGCAGCATGCCGACGTGCTGGTTGCCTCTTTTCGCAGCTACCTCAGCCTGTTTTGAACAGTTGAGGTCGCTCTGTACGATCACACCAAAGTCACGTTCCTGGGAGCTATTCTGCAATCCGTTTGTCCCAAGTAACTAGGTGTAGTTATGTCTATGGCGTAATTGTACAACGCGACATTTGTCTACGTTGAACGGTAGGGCGTTTTGAACTGACCAGTTCGACACTGTGTTAAGATCGCACTGGAGCCGTTCGTGGTCTTCCGGTCCTCTGATCCTTCGCCATATCTTGATATCATCAGCGAAAAATAGGAAATCGGAAGGGATACGCATCCAAATGGCGGAACCTTATCAGAAGCAACGCATCACGCGCCAGTACGGCACATCAATGACGTCGACGAAGTCAGAGGTTTGTACAGTTAGTCATCACAACTGAGGCTGTAAAACCTCTTAAAAATTTACAGCTGAGCGTACAGGGTGTCTACGGAAGGCTGCGTGATTGCTTATCAGATCTAGAAACCAAAACCACTATACCATATTTCTATAAACTCAGCACGGAACACGTCACTAAGAGTTTAATGTAGTTTGGTTGGCCATTCAGTAGGTCCCGACTTGGTTGTCTACAAAGCATTTCGGCACTCAGTGTGTCATGGACTTGGACCTCCGTTCCGTACAATTATATGCGCCCCCTTTATAAAAAAAATAATAAAAAAAAAGGAGAGAATTTGTTCAAGCAAAAAAAACAAATGAAGAAAAAAAAAATAATAGTCGTGGGGGGGGGGGGGGGGGGGGGGGGGGGGGGGGGGGGGGGGGGGGGGGGGGGGGGGGGGGGGGGGGGGGGGTGGGGGGGGGGGGGGGGGGGGGGGGGGGGGGGGGGGGGGGGGGGGGGGGGGGGGGGGGGGGGGGTGGGGGGGGGGGGGGGGGGGGGGTGGGGGGGGGGGGGGGGGGGGGGGGGGGGGGGGGGGGGGGGGGGGGGGGGGGGGGGGGGGGGGGGGGGGGGGGGGGGGGGGGGGGGGGGGGGGGGGGGGGGGGGGGGGGGGGTGGGGGGGGGGGGGGGGGGGGGGGGGGGGGGGGGGGGGGGGGGGGGGGGGGGGGGGGGGGGGGGGGGGGGGGGGGGGGGGGGGGGGTGGGGGGGGGGGGGGGGGGGGGGGGGGGGGGGGGGGGGGGGGGGGGGGGGGGGGGGGGGGGGGGGGGGGGGGGGGGGGGGGGGGGGGGGGGGGGGGGGGGGGGGGGGGGGGGGGGGGGGGGGGGGGGGGGGGGGGGGGGGGGGGGGGGGGGGGGGGGGGGGGGGGGGGGGGGGGGGGGGGGGGGGGGGGGGTGAAGGGGGGGTGGGGGTGGGGGGGGGGGATGGGGGTGGAGGTGAGTGTGAGGCATCGTGTTGTGGGGGTAGGGGGTTGGGTGGGGTCGCAGAGAGTGGGCGAGGTTTCTTTTTGTCTTATTAAGTCTGGTGCTTTTGGACTTTTTTTTTGTGGATGTATTTTTAGTGTAGGCTATTTTTTTTATGTCTTTTAGTCTTTTATTTATTTATTTTTTGTCTTTTGTTTCCTTGGGCGCAAAGCAGACGCGCGTCATCCAACTTCTTCACCCGACAACGCTGCACAGCTACAGCGACCAGTCGACCAAGTTAAGCAAAAGCAAACAACCACTCCGGCCGGACCTCCTCCTAACCATTAAGAACTGAGGGTTAGGCACGTCGGGTTAGATGCCCCGGTGGTGGTCGGCGTTCACGGTAGGCTCTTTTTCCAGTTTATCTGTTACACGGACTAACCTGGAAACAAGCTAAGTTACACCGTAAGCTTGACCAATTAGTAAGCTGAAGATCCTAAGGTTTGTAAGAAACCGTTTACCCGAAACACTTGGTCAACCTTGGGCTATACCATGCGTGAATTGCGCTCCGCAAACAGGACCAGCACACAGGTTTCCAGAGGCAAGCTACGCTTTACACCCACCAGGTTCTAAGCGAAGATAAGAGTGAGCATCAGCGGCAACCTTTTCGCAAATATGCATGAAGTCCATCATCCCTGTACAGCCACGTCAGTTAGATGACATTTGTAACCCCGAGCCAATGCGCTAACGATACCCACAAGGCTCAAAAATTCCGCTGCGGTGTCGTCATGGTTCATGCGTCCGCAGTAGGCAACAGTATGCACTGTTGCATCACTCTCTGCAAGGAAGTCACTTTTTAGCAATCTTACCCTGAACGGCTCGAACAACTCTTCAGTTATGCAGAAGCTCCTGGAAAAATCATCCGTGTGGTCAAAAGTTTTCACAGGTGGTGACAGTTTCCTCCAAATTCTCCTACAAACTTGCGCTGGAGCTATAACATCCCTATGTGCTTATTCCGAAATAAACACGCGCTGTAGTTGTTCATGTGGTTTACTCTGACTATTTGCAGTTGTAAGGATACGCAATATAAGCTAAAAGCAAAGGATAACAAATGGCAGATATTAAAAAAAAATAGATACATAAAGCAAGCATACATACACAACCGCGTCTGCATATTCTCAATTTGTGTGGCAACGTTAGCGCTGTATTTCCCGTTAACTTAGGTTGAGTAGCACAAAATTATTCGCCCATGCCTCCCTTCAAAACGTACCAGGGGTCCGGAATTATACAACCCTTCCAAAATTTTTGGTAACACCTCATGTTTACCTACCTTCGGCCATCGATCGCAAATGCATTACGTTGTGGTGGGAAGCGTTCATTGCCAGTCACGCTGCATACAGATGAAGCGTTCCGGTACTAGGTAGCAAGCACACGCTTGATCCCGCTAACGCAACACACATTACCCATTACCAACTGGCACCTGTGAGCTTTCGTTTGGGTCAACTTCCTCATGTAGACAAAATGAGCGCACGCCATTACATTTAGTTTTTGCTAATTATTCTTAAGCTTTCGCATGTTAGACTACGTTCTGTACACCTCTGAGATGGACGTGTGCAGCCGACTAAATTTTGCCTCTGCGGGCAGTGTGGAAGCAAGTGACAGGTCTGTGACTCGTGGAACCAGCGGCCCTTTTCTTTTTGCTGCTCCAACACGTCGCTTCTAATGCATGTTCGAAGATACACAACGCGCCACAGCTCTTCCGCGTTCTGAGCTTTACCCAGCTTCTTTGATTATGCGCTTCTGCTGTAAACCTCTACAGCCTAGTTAAGTTCCGGTCGGTTAAAAGCTGCCTGGAAATTACTTTTCAAAGTTAACACTTTCTCATCGCAATCAAGCGTCAACAGCTCCATGCTGTACTGAATGGAGCGGTGCACAGCCACTGCCATCTTACCGGATATTGAATCGACCAGCAAATGCAGGGACCCCATTACACTTGTGTATGCGACCGCTCTAATGCTGCACAATTGTATGGTTAGCTCCGCCGCTACTTTCACTGCTTTGCGTAACTTCGTTGTACAGTCCACCAAGGTTAAATGTACTTCTGTTGACTCTTCCTGCAAGGCCAGCTAGACGTCATCTGAAACGTCACTTGGATAGTCCGTGATACTAGTGATGGGTACAGGTTACCAACAAATTTTAGCTGCACGGTCAAAGTATGCTCACTCATGTGGACATTGTGGACAGCAAGTCGGTGGACTTACTCGGAGCACCATGAAGATTTGTGTCGCCAATCCTTCACGGGGTCCATTTGACCGCCGCAGGAATGTCCCAACGAAGATTAATCATGGATAAGTGCGCCTTCTGTCAATCGGTAGTTCAAACAAAGCCTAGGCAGTAGCCAAGAAGTCTAGGGCTTTCCGCGCGCTTTGAAAATGGAGGCCGCTGCCTTCTCTTGAAATACGCGCAATCTACTCTAGCTCATTCGATCCACTGACTTCAGAATGCCTGGTGGCAGTGCGACTATATGTGTAACGAATGGTGCGCCCATTGCCAACTTACGCTTTGACCGATGGGCTGAACATTATTATTCCAAGCCCAATGGCACTCACCACTTATTTATATGCCAGTGAACCCAGGTGCCCTTCCTGGGTCATCACACTTGATCCACGCAGCGCAGCGGAAGTTCGTCCTGCAATTCGACGCTTACAGGGATACAAGGCTGCCGGATTAGAGCGACATCCTCCTGAGCTCTTCAAACATGGAGGCTGGGACATCATTATCCAGATAACCACATTATTCTCCAAAACCTGGGATGAAGCAGAGGTGCCTTTTTCCTGTGGCAGGTCAGTTATTGTCTTGGTTTTTAAGAAGCATGCTCGCACTTCTTGAAATAAAACCAGTGGATTGGTGCCATTTCAAGTGCGTTCAAGCTGCTGTCATCCATTCTTTCCGTAGGCTATTTTCCATTCTCGAATCTTAGTACCAAAAAGTACAAGCCGGCTTCCGACCTGGCCGTGGGGAGTGTGATCTGCCAGTTACACTCCGTCATCTCCTGAAACCCCGCCACCTTTACCAACGACCCACCAATTTTACCTACCTGAACATCCTGCCGCATTAGACCCGGTTAGTCAACTCGCAGGTCTTGGTACGCCTTGCTTAACGCTTAGCATGTCGTAGTTCGGGATATTGCACAGCGATGCTCTGGTGACCTCTGAACATGGTGAAATCGAAGCATAAATCCACAGCATTATAGGCGCCTAAGGGAGAGCTCTAAGTGCTGTCTGTTGACTTAGCAAATCAAGGTCAGAACTGAGTGTGTCTGGGCCTCCATGTACTTAAATAGAGGTCCACGTACCGAAGTAACGGTATTTGAAGCATACTGTTAACAGGAACTGCATCGCTCGCTCCTAACACCGTTATCAGTGTGACCTGCCAAACAAACTTTTGGTCGCTTGAAAGTGCTCGGGCTCAGAGACCTACTGGCGGAGTGGGAATGCATAAAGTCAAGCCCCACTAGATATACCCCAGTTTCTATACAAAATTGCTACGGTAAGTTGCACCTAGGAAGTAATAATCACTACGGACAAAGCATGGACAAGTTTGTCTGCGTCGCTGACGGCACCACCGTGCGGTCAGGTGCCCGATTCCAAACTATATTCAGGCGGTGGAGAAAGTTACGGTTAAAAGTTAATAAATGTATAGATTTATGGCCAAATATCGTTGTGTTAACAATTTCTACATTATTTTCTTCACTTACCTTAAACCTGCGTTTCATGATCATGTATAAATCCATCATTCTATGCGCAGCCATTGGTCCGTTGATACTGCATTGGATCAACGTTTGTAACCTTAGCTTTTGCCATGGACGACAAAGGCTTAAGTGTCATGACGGTTCTCTAGATCCAGTCCAGCGCATGCTATGCAGAAGCGAGGAAGAGCTTTCGGGCTTGCTTTCATCCTGGCTTGCAACACTAGCTATCACCATATGTTCCTATATACGATATTATTTATCTTTACCACCGATCATGAGCATGTAGGATCAGTTACGTGATGAGGAATCTGTTGATGTTAACACTTCCTCAGAAGTTTGACCGCAACTGCCCGTTGCAGCTGTTACAGCAGTTGCTGCTGCCGTATGCGTTGAATACTATATGGAGTTCCGGGGAGGAAGGAGGAACTAGAGTACGCGTTGCACCAATGTCGCACAGTAGTTTCCCGTAGGCAGCTTATTATGGCCGTCGGATGATGTAACGTCCTACAAACTTCTCCGCAAAGGCTGTCTGTAGGCGAAGCAATCAGTTGCGAAAAATAGCAACTTACTGCGCAAAGTCTGGCGTTTACATTCTGAGTTGCATACATTTTCCGGCACACGTCAGTACCTCGAACACTTGATCCGTGGTGAACGATACGTGCACTTTGAACTAGAAGCTGGAATGCGACGCATTTTCCTGCGAACTACCGTTCCACAACCACAAAAGCTGCCGCTACAAGTGCATGTCGACAAGATGTCTCTATTTACTGCAGTTCCGGACAACGTTTAGGGCAAATAGTTGGCAGGGTGATTAAACCGCTAACAAGCATAGTTGCCCTCGGCAGTTACATTGTCTACAGCAAGCCAATAGGCGTTCATGGGTTCCTGCAGGCTACCATACAGGATTTGAAGAACCATATGTTTATTCACGCTGGCGGTCCACATGTTTACCTGCACCTGAAGTGCATTGTCTCTAATGTGCCAGTAAGAGCTTATCTAAAACAGCTAAAACAACATTCAGGATACTTCGCAAGCAAAAAGTGTACTGCCGTCGGAGGGTTGAGATTTATTCTCAAATCCCCATATTGTAGGCCCACACCAAGATCGGCGGATGACTTTCCAATGATTTGGATGCTATCCTGAGGACAAATGAACATTTCCATGTTCGGCGCTAGTGAACATATCAGTGCTTTACCTTTCGAAGCCCACAAAATGTTACCCTGGTTCCCCATCGATTACATGCACATGATGTGCCTGGGATTTATGAAACGGACACTAACGTTGTGGCGTTGTTGGTCTATTGAAGGAAAAATTTGTTTGTCATCCAAATCCAGCTGTTGACGCAACAAGCGCTTGCGGCTGGGCTCCTTATGTGTGACTGCGATTTTCTAGAATATATCGCACTCTTGATGGTTTTTTAAGATGGAAGGCCACTGAGTTCCGTCGGTTTTTCTTATACCTTAAGCCCGTAGTGCTACAAGGCGCCTTGCCAAAACACCTGAACCAAAACTTCCTTACTCGGTCTCTTGCAACTTATGTACTTTGCAGCCAAAAGTGGTGCTCTTGGTACCCAAAGCTGGTGGACAAAGTGCTGGGTAAAATTAAAAACAACCAATATGCGGTAATATACGGTGAGAAGGATGTGGTATTTGATGTACATCGCCTTTATCATAGTTGCGACGACGTACGCCATTTCGGACTAATGGGCACCTTCTCAGCTTTCCCCTTCGAGTCCTAGTTGCGGCGTTTGCAATGCATGGTGCGGGGACCGACTATGCCAACTTCTCAGCTTTCCGCCGTATTGTTGAGGATTCTGCGCCATTCCGTACGAATGCAGTGTTGCCTTCAGATGACACGGGTACAGCGACAATTAGGAGAGATGCCTATTGCTACCGGGATTTTACGTGAACAGGCGTTGCTTACTAATATTCAGCCCAACAAGGCAGTAATGGCACAAGGTGCATCGTCCATTGTTGTGGACCTCAGCACCTCTGAGGAAGGTGTACAGTCAAAGATGTACCGCGGGACGCTGTACGACAACTTCGTACCCACCGAACAGCTATGTATTAGTATGTGCTGCATACGCTTACGCTACCAAACTGGATTCCTTAAACCTATGTATCCTGCAATTGTCTTGCCCTGCCCCTACAAGGGACCACCGTTTCCTACCCCACAGTTTATTGTTGGAGGTAAAGATATTGTTTCGGTAGTTGAACGCGGTAAATGTTTGCATTTTCCGTATCATAATACTTCGCTTTCCGGTGTTACTTTTTGTGTGTACATGCACCACAATTACACTTATGGGTTACATAATCTATACAGATACTAATGTTCCTGGGTATCGTTCACGCGCATATGCACGATGGAGAAATGAAAATTTGGTTATTATTACTTGGCATGTTGGATTATTACAGCTATCTATTCATGGTTATCAGGTAACCCGTTATGCACTATCCCCGGTGAATGGATGATTAGTGAACCTACACTCAACGGAAGATAGCTACATCTGTAGCACCAACGAATACTTAAGCTTGGTTTGCCCTCTCGCCCCTGGAAACGCCAACAGTTGATATTCGAATGGAAGGTGCGTACATCAGCCACAAAAATTCGTGCTTAATATTTGTACCACGTAGGTAACCATGCGCCTCTTATCTATAGTTATAGGACGAACGCTGTATTACGACCAGAAAGAGAATATTCGGACATTACTTACTAATGTGACGGTAACGGCTTGCCGCTTATCATTATTTTCTTTTGGATATTAGTCCGCATGAAGGAATGCTTTAACCATATTCATGGCTTTCCAGTCCTTGTAAGGAGGATACAAGTCGCTGTGCGGCAGTTTTCCACAAAGTACCACAACGGTCACATTTGCTTCACCATTCCCGCGTGCTGCCAAACTCTTCAGGGGGAGGTAATGCGAAAGGTTGTTTGAATGCACGATGATTGTGCCTCAGAGCTATGTTATATGCAATGAAACCTTTAGATTGTATGTTCTCTGACCTCACGGTGTTGATATTCTCAGTAGGTGACCGTTTGAGGTTGGCTTTAGGGAGAAGACCTGTCTGCTTTTCGGCATTGTTACCAAATTAATCCATTACTGTTACTGCGTTTTTCTATATCTCCTTCAGGTTTGCCTCCATGTGCTACATGTACTAAACTTTTGAATGAATCACCTGGCAGAGTTCGAAACTGACAGTGCCGCGGTGGCACATTCCACTTGGTTGGTGGGACCAGCACAACTTCAGTGGCCTAAGTAGCCTTCCAGGCAAATAAAAACATTGATGTTACGCCGCAGTACGCCGTCTAAGTCGACGCCATCGTACAAAGTGCAGACTCAAAAAGCTACTAGTACACCTATGCCATACCGCTACCTAATCATTTTTACATGGAAACGAGGAAGCAAAACGCCTGGACGTTGCGCTTGAGTTGTCGGAGCTACCTTCAGGTGATGCAACTTTCTCCTTGGAGCGAGGCAGAAAATGCATACTGTAGACGCAAATTTAGCTATCTATACTTTAGCATTCCCTTCCTTTATCCAACATGCGAAACATTTATAATGAAGTCATATCTTACTGCCGCCAACAACGCGTACATCGAGAATCACCCTGACCCCCAGGTTGGTGTTGGAATATTCACCGCAGGGTAAAAACGTGGATGAAGATCAAAGGCAAACAAACCTTTTAAGATAACAACCTTTCCACGGCATAAGGTCACATTTGTGATGGTTGCTGTCAAACAACCTTCGTCTCAGAGGAATTGCCGGACCTTGGATTACTCTGATAAAGCAGTTTATAGTAAGTTGTGATGTAGTTCTTATTAGCCCGCTGCGCTCCGTCTCGACCGGCTGAAGCAAGAGTATGTTCGCATGCGCGAAGAACTGCGTGCCATAAAGGTGAGGTTAGACACCCTAGATCGCCACTTGGTCAGCGCCAAGAGAGTTACCATCAGTCGTGTGTCTCTGTCAATGGGCTCAGTTAATGAGCTCATCACGCGGAAATCGCGGCTGAAGAAACGCAAAGGTAGACAAGTTGGTAAGGACTGAATTCATATTTTACGTTTTAGAAGGCCTTTTCGAGCAACTAGATGAGAGGTGTTTGACGGAATTCTTCAGGAGCTTAATGCCAGCGGTCATGACGAACGCGATTGAAAGGAAACTGAACTGGCGATGCGTTCACGTAAGGGACCGTGCTCCACAACGGTCGGAGAAAAGCAGACGACTGGGAGGCTGCCGTAGCGGCCAACATGCAACTTCGCCTTGGTGAATGAAAACCGAAGGTTACAGTGGGATCCACGTGATGTTAATGTGGAGAACAATGCTATGGGTTGCAACGCGGACATGGGTTTTTATGAGTATGATGATAGCTTGAAAGAACCATGAAGTGCCTTGGCGGATTCAGTCGCTGTCACGGCTATCGACGATACCGCTACTTACCGTGGTGTCTTCCTTCACCGTGTTTACCGTCCAGTGGAGAATTTTGAAAGTGACTTAAAGCGCTTTCAAATGCGAACTGCATCACGTTTTTCAAATCAGATGTCCTGACATTTAAAGCGTATAGGAAGTGAACCGGTAAAGAGTTGCCTGAAACTGTGCGGTACAGATCTGTACACTATAGGTGCTTTCATTGTCGCCGAAGCGGTTACACATGCAAGCGGTAAATTGACATGTAATCTTTATGAAACGCTTATTCACCATAGGTACCAAGGTTATGACTGCATAGCCCAAATTGTCATGCGGCATAACGGCTGGTTCTGCGCCATAGTATCCTACAGCGTTGTGCACAGCCTTACCTTTCATGTAGGAAAGCCGTATCCCTATGTGACTAACAGACGGCTTCCGCGACATGCGGAAGAGGACGTCGATCGTATGATGTCGTCGTTTAAGGAAACACACGAGCTCAGGATGTATGCGTGGACAGCGCACTGCTTGATGTCAACCTGTTTGTTCGGCTGGTATACAACAAACCGCGTGGAAAAGGAATATAGACATTTAAAGAGCGATCTTTCGGAGCGAAAGCCGTTATTAGGCCTGTTTACGGCGGTCGCTAACCGTGTGCTTGATGCTCAATCCCAATGGCAAGGGTTGATGGGCAAAACGGACTAGTCTGAGCGCCCAATAGACCCTTGCCTCGATAGCATTGGACAGGCTGCGTATCAGTTTTCAGGATATGCTAGAGTGCGCTTGCGATGGCAGTACACAAGGGAAAAGGTGAAAGTGACGTACTTGTCCGGTGGTAGATGTCAAGTGCAAAGTAGCAGTAGGCACTTCACCGTGCTAATGCATGTGGACGTAACTTGCCAATGCAGCTTTAGTCGACAATGGTCACTTCCGTGCACCCACAGTGTGCACACATAGCAAGCGGCGGATCGACCGGTTGACGAGATATTGCGCAACAACCGCTGGGTTGTGTCGCAGCCGCGACATTCGCGTGTACCCGCATCCACGTCCTCCGCCGTCGTCCCCATACCATCGAGTTCCACATACAGGCAGCTTCTGGGGGATATTCAGGTGCAGGTTTACAGCCTTGGTGATGCAAAGTATAGGGAGGTTATGGATCAGTTGCGGCAGTTTCTATACAACCTAAACGGTTCCCGCGAGGACGTCGCGGTTTCCGCCTCCGAAACCATGGTTAAAGCAGCAGCAGATGGGCTGTGTGAACCTACAAGGGAAGGCACAAGACTTAAGCAACGCTTAGTGCCCATTCCAGTTTCGTCCGTCAATCAGGAGCAGGAAGAGAAGCCACCTCGTTTAGGAAATTAGCACACGAACACAGCTAGGGTGTATAAGCCACCAAGGAAGCGTCGTTGCTATGCGATACTCCCAACCAATTGCGACGATGACAAGTGCGCTTCGTGTCTCAAAGCAGACTTCCAGGTGCAGAGTGGACAGATGTTTGACTGGGTCATGTGCTCCGACTGCCGCCTTTGGGATCATCAGCTGTGCAACTCTTACAATGGACAGGAGCATTTCACTGCCACTGGTGTTTGTAGGTCCTCCTTTTCACGTTGCTAACTTTTTCCTTCCTTTATTACCACGCCATTGCTTCCGCTTGATCGTTAGGTACACCCACTACTCCCAAATGCAATGCCTTCCCTAGTTGACGGGTTCCTACACGGATGCCTACCTCGCCATCTAAACCATACATGATGGCGTGGTCAAGTGTACCTAAGGACCTCAGAAGCACCCGCAATTCTGCCGCGTTGTGATGATACACATTTCCTCCTAGGTTCCTTTATTACAACTTCATCTTCTAACCAACCTAAAGAACCGTTGTGCTTTGCCAAGCACCAGGATAACATGTATGGAAAAGGTAAGAAGTACGCTTGAGGTACCATCGGTAGTACATGCATTCCTTGCGCTCACACTGCATTTCTGATATCATCTTACCTCCCAGCTGCTTAGTGATCCGCCGCGTGGGGATGAGTGTGCATGACCTCATCCATACGTGCGTGAGCATTTTGCCTGGGACGGAACACCTTATGGTTTCCGCGAATTTCGTGCAGCTTCTAGATACTCTTGCTTCAACGACCACCCCAGCCATTTCGGCTAAGTGATGTTACTTTGACCTCTAGTAAAACTATCCCTTTGGCTTACACAAGGTGATTTAAGGGTCGTTCCTTCGGTCACCGTTGTATGGTCTTGGCTTATCTCCATTTCTGGCAGTCAGTTATCACATCAGCTACACGTGGCGTCCTCATTGTTAGAAGGTAGCTGCTGGTGAAGCCTTGCGTAAGACTTGTTTCATTCCCCGCTCCTTCCGTGTAACTAGTGGATGGTATCCTTGTGATGCCATATACAGCTTCCGCGATACCACCCACACCACACTGTGTGGTGGCTTGCACACCGAGTCTCCCTGGGGCAGGAGGTCCAACGTATCAATCACGTAACGGTGACACCCTGCTATTTACCCTGTGGTAAACCGGCAACATGCGGTGACGTTTCCCGCTGGGTGACCGTCGACATTGGGGAACGTACCTGGACTAAGTAGTCCTGACAAGCCCGTGCCGCTGTTAACAGTCAAAGTAGATAAGTGACAACCAGTTCCCCTCTTATCCTTCTGCACTGCATGCAGTGCATCCCCATTCGGAGCCAGTGTTCTGACAAGCCTGCATGCAATATTTCAGGTGCGGTCGAACGAATGTCGAGAATAGTTTTACTAACAGCTTGATCGCTGGGATTACGAAAGAGTGGCAGATAAATAAAGTTATACGGAATCCGCCGGACAACCTGTCTTCTGCTATTCATCCACTGAATGGAGTGCTCATGAGTGACGGACCCCCAACTGGGCGTGCTGGGTGACAAAGGAGATTGCACCATGGCCGACAACTTATAGGTACGATGGCCAGCAGCTCCGATTCTTCTAAGAGACCAGTAGCTCCTATTTATGCTGAGCAACCATAAGGTAAACCCCACACGGTGACTTCCAAGGCACCCTGGTTTGCCTCAAGTCCCCGGAATATCCACAATATCCCGGTGCTTCAAGTTCAAGTTCGAGTGGGACTGGAACGATAGGATGAATCCCGTGAGTGTTCCTTCTTTAGCGGGTCGTCGATCCAGAAGTTGATAAGGGTTCTCCGACTTTTTGATGGGTCTAAAAGGAAAGCACCCGAAAAACATCCTGGTCCACCAATTTAATGCCCACGTTCCTTACATAGCTGTCCCCGGTATGTAAGTTACGTGAAGTAAGTAAGAGAGGAAGAAAAGCTAAGGCAAGAGGTTAGGGGAAATTAGTTAAACGAAGAGAATAACACCACTGGCGAGGAAGAGTAAGGAAAAATAATATCAAAGTATGAAAATGGGAATTTGTCAGGAAAAAGGAAACCTTCCGTGTCGCCGCCCAAGAGCGTCTAGTTGACGCTCAAACCCCTTAACCCTAACTTCCTTGACAACATTTTTTGGAAGCAGGTTCCAGCGCTGGATGGCTCAACGTGATAACCGTGTCTCCTCTCGAACTCGATCGGATCGCGGCTTGTTTAGCTTCATGCAATTCCTACGGAGACCGGATAATCTAGCAGGACTAAATAGCATGGACAAATCAGGGCCAACCTTCCCAGGCAAAAGACGATAGGTTAGGATTAGGTCCCCTCTAATCCGTCCATAGTGCATTGACTGCATCCCCAAACTAAGTAGGCGTTCGGGGTATGTTTGCCCTCGTAATCCCTTGACCAACCGAACTGCAAGGTAGATCATCCCAA